CCTGAGGCTCGGGATGGAGGGTGAGTGAGTAAACAATCCCCGGCCGGGTATTGGGCCCGGCCTCGGCACGTTGCCGCCCGGGACCCGAGGGAGGGAGAGGCGAAGGGATCAGGCGTTTGGGAGGAAGCTGAGGCACACACTGCCTGCCTGGCCGGCGGTTGTGGGGCGCACCTCCCGGCTCGGAGGGCTGGGGGGACGGGGGCGACGGGGGAGAGAGCCCCGGAGCGGACCGCGTCTGAGGCTGGGAGGGCGGTGTCTCTGGGAGGAGGTGCGGCGGGGGCGGGCCCGGGGACAGGGAATCCCGTTGGAGGACGGGGTGGGCCGGTGGGCGGGAGCCCCAGCTCAGAGGGAGCGGTGGCCGGTAGCACCTGCGAGGGCCCTGAGCAAGGTGGACTCCGGGGCCCTGGGGCAGTGCACGGGGAGAGCCAGAGACCGAGGCTGAGCTTGCGGTGACTTTGGGGATGTTGAGGAAGGAGGGGCAGTGAAAACAGGGTCGGGGCTAGGACGAGGTGAGTGAGGCTCCTAAGGGTCGCAAAGTGTAAGGGGCACTGACTCTCAGGGTCGTGCAAGTGCAGAGTGGGCGCCTCGCTCTCCTCAGCCCATTCCTGGCCCTGAGGAAGAGGCTTCTTTACCTCCACACTTGGTCTGGCGAAGCAAAGGCAAGGTGTTAGATTTGGGACATGCCTGTTAGGGAACGTAGGACAAACTTTTATTTCGGTAAAAAGTGACTACTGAGAAATTGTTTGAGGGACAGGGAGGGGAAGGGATGCGGAAGGAAGTTAGTGCTGCTCGTGGAATATTGATGGTGGGCTTTGATGGGATTGTAAATGGAGTAGCGCAAGCTTGACCTTGGCGGGGGACTATGAGGGAAAAGAACCGAGGTAGATGAACGACTGCAAGGATGCCGTTGAAAATGTGGATCTCCCCCATACCGGCCAGCCGCCAAAAAAAACAAACAGAAAATGTGGATCTCTTTTTCCACACTTGCTGCGCTGACGCCTTTGAATAGACCTACCCCCCCACCCCCCCACCCCCCGTGCTTTTAAATTTAGGAACCGGTGTTGTATGAAGTTTCCAGCCTGAGAAAGGTGCTAACTATCAGAGATTTCTGTGAGAGCTTGTCTATTTTAAGGCTTGGAATCCCCAAGTGTGGCACTGATAAAAAGAGTTCACTTACTTTCACAGGAGAGAGAGTGTTAGGAGATAAGTACTTAAAACATACAGAGACGCAGTAGAAGAAAGGACCGTTTATAAAAATGTAATGATACTATTACTGTCAAAGGTTATGCTTAGTGTGTGTATCACAGACCGTGTGAATCACTTCTCCCAGGGGCAGGGGTATGTGTCTGTTTTATTCACTAATGTACTCGAAGCACCTAAAACAGTGCCCGGCATGTAGTAAGTGTTCAGTACATATTTGTGGAATAAATAAATAGTGGGAAGATTTCTGGGACTGAGAGTCAGGAGATCTGGATCCTAGTTCTGCCACTACCTGGCAGAGTACGTATAAGCCATTCATGGAACTTGATGCTAAGGCACAGCTTTAAAACTCCCTGAAGTGGAATGATCTCGTCATTATGGTGGTTACATTAGTACCCTTTGAAACCACTAAAATAAGGAGCCTGAAATTAAAAAATGAAGTATTACTCCCAAGAAGACTTTTGTGAAAAGGGAAGAGGTGAGAAAATGTAGTCAGAGTTGTTTCTCTTATACTTGCCTTTGAGTTCTTATGCCTTTTATAAAACGATTTAAAATATTAATTTTTTCTATTTAATTCTGGGGATCTGAAACATGGCTTCCTTAGTCCTATAGGTAACAGTTCCTGCCCTTGATTTATGCCTTATATGAAACTTGTAACAATTCATTTCGTTAAGTATATCTTTTTCTGGCTTTGGATTAAGTTTTAAAAGTTTCCACTTTGTTCTCTACTTTTAGTTTGTTCACTAGCAACTTCCCAGAAAAAGTTTGAAGTAGCAACACTAAAAACTCATTGCATTTCTACATAGTTAAACTAAAGAGAAAAAACATGGAGAGGGTGAAGATAATTATACCAGATAGGTTGGGATTGAAGGGAAGGATTAAAAAAAGAAAAACTTTTATTAGGAAATACCTCCATTCTGGAAAGTCCCCAGTTTTTCTGTTTTTGTTTTGTCCACACTGTGTATTGGGTTCCTTCCTGTCTCTTTAGTCTATTAGTGGATCATCAGTTGGGACTTCAGTGCTCCAAACCCTAAAGTCAGGAGTTACTTGATGGGTAGTTGGAGTTTAGTTCCTCTGGTGTGCTGTGTTCCCTGACTCACCCTAATAATTTGATTCAAAATGGACTAAAAAGTCTTGTTTTTATTGATGATGAACAGTCACTGAATAATAAGCTTTGTGCTGACATAGTACAGAACCGTCCAAGGTAGAGCTCGGGTCTGTTTGGAGATTGCTTTAACCCTTTTAAATCAGCATCGTACATCCTAAGATCCAGTATTTTCCTTTGGGTCTCATAAAACTAATCCTATCTTGATTTTTGTCACCATTGCCTCCAGCGCACATGACCTGATTCTTCTAATGAAGCAACACTAGAAAATATTAATCTTATAATTTTATTTTAAATCAGAATTCAGGGTCACACCTATTAGTAAGGTTCTTTCTGTGTATATAGTGCCCAGAAGCTCGAACTAATAACAAATGTAAATCCCTTGGAGAAGTGGGAGGGTATAAATCAAAGGTGTGCTTAACAGATCCTAATTGAGAGATCAATCAGGCTGTGTACCTAGCCACAGAGTTGACTTTAACCAAAGTGTTGATGAAATTGGTGATCACCAGAATGACTCAATTGTGTTACTAGAGCTCTTTGCAGGGGTAGGTTCACTCCTACCCTTCATGTGTCACCTCCACGATGAATTGAAAAGGAAAGAATAAGGTGGAAAAATTTTAAATCTATAGTGTCATCTGTCTCCAAAGCCTTAATGAGCCTGCTGGTTAATAAAATATTATTAAAAAGAAAGTAGTAAAGACATTGAACTTGACAAAGAAGCTATTTCTCTGGGCCGGCCGGTGGCGCACTGCTACAGTGCGCCGCTCCCGCCGAGGGTTCGGATCCCACATACAGACCAGCTGCTCACTGCCTGAGCGAGGTGCGGGTGCAACACTGAGGGTTACGATCCCGTTGCCGGTCCCGGTCCGGTACGGGCACGACACTGAGGGTTGCGATCCGTTGCCGGTCACGAAAAAAGGAAAAAAAAAAGAAGCTATTTCTGCAAAGAAGCACCTTTATATAGAAGAAAGAATTTCATGGTTTGGAACTTTTGTATTCTGATTTCAATCTCTCTGAGTTTAAGAACATTGTTCCTTAAATGTTTTACAGCCATACAATTTTAATGTTTTCCCATTTCCAACTAATGAAAGACTGCATTCTAGTTTTAGCCTTTGAAGCAAATGGAGATCCAGTTTTGTGGGGAAAGATTTCCAAGTTTTTGTAGATTTCTTTTTCTGTAGAAATGTGACCTGTAAATAAGGTAGTTCTTATTTCCAATGATTCTTTTTAAAAAAAATCTTTATTTTCTAGAAATAAAGATTTACAAAAAAATTGAAAAATAGTTTCAGATTTACAAAAAAATTGAAAAGCTAGTACAGGATGTTCTCATAAACCCCACATCCAGTTTTCCCTGTAATAACATCTTATACAAGGGTACTTCACAAAGTACATGGAAAAAATGGAATTAAAAGATAATACAAATCTTTCCATGAACTTTTTTTTTTTTTTTTTTTTTTGGTGGCTGGCCAGTATGGGGATCCAAACCCTTGACCTTGGTGTTACAACACCATGCTCTAACCTACTGAGCTATCTGTCCAGCCCCTTCCATGAACTTTTTGAAGACCTCTCATATGAGCATATATACGTAACATCCATTACGTTAATGAACCACTATTGATTTTTCTATTATTATTCATTCCAAAGTCACTCAAGAATTTAAAAAGAAAAAAAAAAAGTAGAATTGCCTACAGATGTTTAATAGTAAAAGTCTCTAGAAAATACTGGGTTGATCTATTCAAGACTTATTTTTTCTAGGGCTGGCCGGTGGCTCACTTGGGAGTGTGTGGTACTGGTAACACCAAGGCCATGGGTTCGGATCCCTATATAGGGATGGCCGGTTAGCTCACTTATTTTATTAAAGACTTCTTTTTTTTTTCTAAAAAGATTACCGGTAAGGGGATCTTAACCCTTGCCTTGGTGTCGTCAGCACCACGCTCTCCCAAGTGAGCTAACCAGCTATCCCTATGTTGGGATCCGAACCCGTGGCCTTGGTGTTATCAGCACCGCATGCTCCTAAGTGAGCCATGGGCCGGCCCCTAAGACTTATTTTTTCTTTAATCAGCTTTATGGAGGTAAAAATTTACATACAGTGAATTCACCCGTTTTATTTAAAGAGTTCAGTGAGTTTTCATAAAAAGTATACAGTCGTGTAACTGTCACCACAACAAAAATATAGAACATTTTGTCACCCTGAGAAGGTTCCTTCATGCTCTTTCCATTTAATCCCTTTTCCACCCCAGTGCCTGGCCAACCACTGATGTGCTTTTGTCACTAGTTTTGCCCTTTCTGAAATTAATCTAGTTGAACATCTTGTAAGTGGAATTATATAGTTTGGAGTGTTTTGTGCCTGATTTTCCTCACTTAGCATAATGCTTTTGAGATATATTGTGCATGTATAGGAACTGTTCATCCCTTTTTATTGTTGAGTAGTATTCCATTGTTTTTTGGATTTGGTGGCTGGCCAGTACAGGCATCCAAACCCATGATTTTGGTGTTGTAAGGCTGCACTCTAACCAACTGAGCTAACGGGCCAGCCCCCATTGTATTTATATACCACATTTTGGATCCATTAGCCAATCCATTGATATTTGTGTGATTTCCACTTTTAGGCTGTTGTAAAGCTGCCACGAACATTTGTGTATGGGTCAATGCGGGAACATATGTTTTCATTTCTGTTGGATAAATAATTAGTAATTGAGTGCCAGGTTATATGGTAAATATATATTTAACCTTATAAAAAAAAAAAAACCTGGCAAACTGTTTTCTAAAGTGGCTGTTCCATTTTGCATTCCCACCAGCAATGTATGAGGATTCCATTTGCTCCATATCTTCACCAACAATTGGTATTATCAATGTTTTTGATTTTAGCCATTCTAGTGGTTGTGTAGTAGTATCTCATTGTGATTTTAATTTGCATTTCCCTACTGACTAATGACTGAGCATCTTTTTGTGTGCTGACTTGTCATTCCTATATCTTATTTGGTAAAGTATCTGTTCAAATTTTTGCCTACTTTCTGTTGGGCTCTTTATCTTATTATTGAGTTATAGGAGTTACATAAGAGTTACTTAAATAAAGGTTTACTTATTTTTTTTATTTGTTTGTTTTGGTTTTTGGTGGCTGGCCAGTACAGGGATTGAACCCTGGACCCTGGTGTTATCAGCACCATGCTCTAACCAACTGAGCTAACCGGCCTGCCTGTAAAGTTCTACTTTAAAACTTCTTGACCAAAACAGCTTTTGGAGTTTATCTTTAATGTAGAAATAAAATTAATGAAAGGCTTGTAGGTACTAGCTAAGTACTTAACTGAAATATAAGTGCTGTTTTGCATGTGTAAGTAACTAAAGTATAGATCTAGTAGAAATGTAAAGTGGTTTTTTTATGTGTCACTCCCTCTGCCTGGGATGAATAAACCCATTTCTCCAAACCTGTTCTAGTGAATGCTGTGTTTTTTATTTGTTTGTTTTTTAAAACCTTTGATATGATAGTTGTTGGTTAGGTTCCAGCTGCTATGAGAACCTATCCTATGGCTGTGTTTCAGGCATTTATTTTAATCATATCTATCTGTTCCAAACAGTATGTCTCAACTTCCTCATATACTCTGTGGGGACTGACCAACTGCCAAATAAACTTTTAGAGACATTGAAGAGACATTAAAAAGCCAAGTAAAATAGATGTTGGCCAATGGACACATGAGATTCAAATATCACTTTAGTTGTAAAAGGAGGAAGTGTGGTTTATTTTCCATTGTGATTGGTTAAAACTCAATGGCGTTTTCGTGTATATGTGTGTATTTATCTGGCCAAATAAAACACTTGAGTAAAATTAGAAATGGTATCATTAATTGTTGGATTATTTTAATGTATTTACTGTCATCTCTCTTGACAGACTGTAGAAGATCACATTTCAATTATAACTCCTTTCTTTAATAAAAATATTGATATTTTTCTGTGGCCATCTTCTTTAAGAAATCTACACCCACACATGCACACACGCACACACACACACACACACACACACACACACACACACAGAGAACAGCAGCTGTGGATTGAATATGTTCTTTTCCATTACTTGATTAATTTTTTTTTTTCCCTTTTTTTGTCTTTTTTCGTGACCGGCAACGGATCGCAACCCTCAGTGTCGCGCCCGTACCAGACCGGGACCGGCAACGAGATCGCAACCCTTGGTGCTGCGCCCGCAACCCTCGGTGCTGCGCCCACAACCCTCGGTGCTGCGCCTGCACCCCGCTCAGCCAGTGAGCGGCCGGTCTGTATGTGGGATCCGAACCCTCGGCGGGAACGCCGCCGCACTCCCAAGCGGCGCACCGTAGCAGTGCGCCACCCGGCCGTCCCTACTTGATTAATTTTAAATGGATGGAACAACCTGCTGTAAATTTACTATTTCAAAAAGCTGAATGAGTTCCAAAAGGAGAGGGACTGGGCCGGCCCGTGGCTCACTTGGGAGAGTGCGGTGCTAATAACACCAAGGCCCCGGGTTCGGATCCCATATAGGGATGGCCAGTTCACTCACTGGCTGAGCGTGGTGCTGACAACACCAAGTCAAGGGTTAAGATCCCCTTACCGGTCATCTTTTGAAAAAAACAAAAACAAAAAAAAACAAAAGGAGAGGGACTGCAGTTCAAAACCAGTTTTTAAAGGAGGTTGTGATGTCTCATTGAATTGTAATGTATAACATTTGTGTCATTTGGGTCTCAGTAAGGGTAGCCTAAGGTTTTTGAGGGAGGAAGTTTTGTCCTTGATTCAAACGATTTCTTTATTTACTGGAGGAGACTATTATTAAGCTTGTTTGGGACAGAAATTGTATGAGTAACCACTTAACATTACATGTGAGTATGGTGTATGTTCTTAAATAGTTTTATCATTCAAAAACCATTCCTCTTTTGGCCCCATCCCATGTAAGGGTGAGAGGTATTTAAAAGATGTAGGAGTGGGCCGGCCCGTGGATCACTTGGGAGAGTGCGGTGCTGATAGCCCCAAGGCCAAGGGTTCAGATCCCTGTATAGGGATGGCTGGTTGGCTCACTTGGGAGAGTGTGGTGCTGACAACACCAAGTCAAGGTTTTAGATCCCCTTACCAGTCATCTTTAAAAAATAAATAAATAAATACATAAATAAATAACATAAAAGATGTAGGAGGAAGAGAGATCATGCAATTTGGAGGAAAGAAATTCAAGTCTGCTTAATTTTTTTTTTTTAACCCAGAATCTTAGCACTTTGGGATTCAAATTCTTGGATTTTGTTGTTGTTGTTGTTTCATTCTCTTACCCAAAGAGATAATATTTAATTCAGGGCAATTCTATTTTTTTTTTTTTTTGTCTTTTGTCTTTTTCCGTGTCCGGCAACGGATCGCAACCCTCAGTGTTGCCCCCGTACCGGACCAGGGACCCTCAACGGGATTGCAACCCTCAGTGTTACTCCCGCGCCTCGCTCAGCCAGTGAGCGGGAACCGGTCTGTATGTGGGATCCAAACCCTCGGGCGGGAGCGCCGCCGCGCTTCCCAAGCGGCGCACTTATCCAGTGCGCCACCGGGCCGGCCCGGCAATTCTATTTTTTAAGAGCTTGAATCACTTGATTGAATTAGCAGTAAACACAAAGAATCTGCCTGCTTCTTTGTTATTTCCTCCATCCTTTATTTATCCTCTAAATTTAACATAGCATTAGATGGCTTCCTTTAGTTCTTCAAATGAAACATTCAGTATACTCTTAAAATCCATATGCATGAGATATTATAATCATGATCTGATTGTGATGTGTGGTGGCGGGTTAAATTTTGCTGTTTTCTTCTCTGTGCTGATAATTTTTTATGGGCCCAAACAGGTAATTTAAAAATGTTTCTTTAGAATAAATATGCTGTTCTACTCCAAAAGAAAAAAAGTATTTTGTAGGAAATTTTTGAAAACAAGGTCTGAAACATTAGCTTCTATTTCAAATTTTGGGTCTTCATAGCTCCTTGTAATGTTTTTAGAAATTTAAAGTGTTAGGTGAAATGAATAGAACTAATTTGAAGCCTAAGTAATTAATATAGAGTAAAAGCATCATCTTGTAGATTCTGTTGAATTTTTATGTGAATTTAATGTTTGTTCTTTCTCTAAAATAATTGATGGGCCTCTGGCTAAGCGTAGAAATTGGATCAGAAAACCATTATGAACTTGGTAATTGTGAGGATATATTTGCACACATGATTGGAAGGATAGAATTTAATAAAATAAAGGCCTCTTTCCAAATGGCACCAGGTATTGTTGAAACCCGACCTACATGTAAAAATAGTAGTAGCAGAGACCTTGAAGCTTTCCTAGTTCTAGGGGAGCATCCTACTAAGGGTATCAGGGTCTAAATATGCTTTTCTGACTTAAGACCACTGTTTGTTCTCTTTTGAAAAGCTGAACACTTCTTTTGCCTTAGTGTCTTGCCATTCCTCTGAAGAACAGAAGCACATCATAAAACCCAACACTTCGCCTCGCATTCTATGAAGTAGGTAAAATGTATTACAATCAATACTACTTTAAAACTTTGAAACTTAATTCAAATACAAAAAAAAAAGTGATTTGCAGTGTTATCTATTTCCATATGTCTTGCTGCTCACTTGGTGTTGAGATAATGCTGTTGTCTGTATCCTATTTTTATTGCTAGGCATGTAGTCGATTTAGACAATTTGGCAGGTATGGTTTTGTACTATGAGCGGATCTTCTGTGAAGTTCTTAGATATGAACTTGGTTCTTGCTGAACATTTCTCTTACTCTTCTCTTAAAAAAAAAGAGTAGAATTGTCCCTTCCATGTCAGGTTTTTGTTGGCAAAGCAAAAGGGTCAGTCTTTAGAATGCAGGGAGTAGTAACTAGGCTTCCATATTTCTAAGTAATTCAAATTCCTAATATCTGTGAGAGAACTGCTTGAGTGCTAAATTTAAAAAATGAGGTATCACAAGACAGAGGCTAAGCAGGAATTGCTGCTTTATGTTTTTTGAAGAAATTTAATGGGAATGAAAGCACTATTGAGCATGTGTATTTGAATTTGAGGAGTGCTTCATTTTCAGGCAATAAAATGCTATCTCTCCTCTGTGTCTCTCTTAGATTTCAGCAAAATGGACATACCAAATCCCCCAACCTCCAAATGTATCACTTACTGGAAAAGAAAAGTGAAATCTGAATATATGCGACTTCGACAACTTAAGCGGCTTCAGGCAAATATGGGCGCAAAGGTAAAAAATAATTCCAAAGTGAAATGTTATATATTTCAGTATATTGATTCAATGTGGAGGGGTTGGAATTTTTTTTTGTAACTCTTGTTTTGAAATCTTAAAAATCATTTCCTTGGCTTTTCTAGGCTCTATATGTGGCAAATTTTGCAAAGGTTCAAGAAAAAACACAGATCCTCAATGAAGAATGGAAGAAGCTTCGTGTCCAACCTGTTCAGTCCATGAAGCCTGTGAGTGGACATCTTTTTCTCAAAAAGGTACTTCTGGGTTTCTAAGTTCAGCCTTCCTCTCTTGCTTGTTTTTTTTTTTTTTTTTTTTTTTTTTTTTATTTGTGACTTTCTAGAAAATAAATAAGTAAGGATAATGGATACAGCTATTGTAGTTGACTTTGAATAATTAGTATAGTGTATCTGTAGCTTAAGGAACAACCTTTTCACCTGTTCTCCTCAGTTAATGAGTATAATTATAAGTTTTTCATAGGAAAGTAAGACATTGTTTACTTCCTGAACTCTATGTCCAAACCTTTTCTGTGTCTTGTTTGGTTTCTCAAATACTTTGACATTGGGAATGGAGTGCCCTGGGTAATGGACAGGAGTATATTGATCAAAGGGACATCACTTATTTTAAACTTAAAAAGAGCATTCTAGTTTCTTAAAGAGATAATATATTTTTTGAACTGTCAATAACATTTTTAAAATATAAAAAGCAGATAGTGTATTGAGGGCGATTATTTTTCTCAAAGCTATATTCCTTTCCCAAAGTTATATTCCCAGAATATAACTATAATTATATCAAACTTTGCTTTCTCCTGTACTGTCCCCATCACCTATGCAGCTAAGTGATGTCCTTTGTCTTAAAGTGTAGGTCTTCAGGAAACTTCCTTATCTTCATCCTCATCTCCTAGGTACATGCAGAGGCCCTTTGCTGTTGTGTATACTCCAAGAAGGCCAACAGTTTTATTTATTTTATTTATTTATTTATTTTTTTTAAAAGATGACCGGTAAGGGGATCTCAACCCTTGGCTTGGTGTTGTCAGCACCACGCTCAGCCAGTGAGCAAACCGGCCATCCCTATATAGGATCCGAACCCGTGGCCTTGGTGTTATCAGCACTGCACTCTACCGAGTGAGCCACGGGCCGGCCCTCAACAGTTTTAGATTGAAATAAAAACCAGTTGAGTATGGGAGACACTATTCTGGACTCTGTAGAGGACACAAAGGTGAATAAGAGACATTTCCAGCTTTCCACAGGTTTACAGCCTAGGGGTTCCTCTTAGGAGCTGATGTTACAAAACCTTCAGCTTACTAATTTGTAAGAATTAGAAAGCTACTGGGATCATTTTGGAAGGAAACCACAGTTCTCTCTTGGGTTGTGTGCTTGCCTTTCCCTTTCCATGTCATTGCTTATATTTCAGTGTACCATAGACAGCATTTTCCCAGGATTTGCAAGCCAACATATGTTGATGAGGTCTTTGAACACAGTTGCATTGGTTCCCATCATGTATTCCTGGTCCCCTCTCCAGCAGAACTTCATGGTATGTATTGAAAGCTCTGTGGTGGTTTTTTAAACTGTGATTATCTTATATTGATATTCCAGAGCTCCTCAGAATACTTAACAGAGCTTGGACATACAGGGCAGAACGTTATGGTGGTTTACTTATTCTAAAACTATCTGTGTTGCAAGTTTTTCTAACTTGTCAATATTTTGTGCTGTCTGAAGTGTACTTTTGAATGGTGCTGGTTCTTTTTTGAATGAGTAAGATTGGGCAAGACTTCAATTTTCTCTTACTACCTTGGCCTAATTTTGTAAATTACGTGCAGTTAAATGCAGTCTAAATCAGCCACTCAAGGCTTAAGCAGGTTGTCAGCTCCCTGCTGATGGAGCAGTCCTTTCTGAATCCTCTCAAGGCAAGATGCTGTGAAAGCAACTGGGATAACAGACATGCACATAGAAACACAATCCTTTCATCTGGGTCTTAGGCTGACTCCTACTAATATTGTTTGTGGTTTTGATAATCAGTCATCCCTAAATACTGCTATTGCTTATCATCTACCTGGTGACAGAAGCAATACTGCTGATTCGAATAGGATGTACATTTACAGAAAGAATCATTTCTTAGAACAAAACTTCAGAGTAATTTTACTTGGGGATTTAAGAATGACTGTGTTCTCTGCTGAGCACCGCCCCCCCCCAATCTTCAGTATCGTTTATTGACAGAAAATATCCATAGCCTATACTTGATTGGCTTTAGGCTCCCATTGAATGTAATTGGCATGAGTTGTAATCATAATTTTTTTTGGCAGCTGGCTGGTATGTGGATCCTAATCCATAATTTTTCATTATTGGAGAGACTTAATCTGTTTTATAGAAAGCCCCCAAATTTTATGGTTTCCCAGTTTCTTTTCTAGTTATATTGCAGATCATACTTTTGGAGGCCTTCCTTTTCATTTATCTTTCTCTCTACTTATGAAAACAATTAGAATTGAAGACTTTTTACAGTGTTGTTTGAGTGATATTCATACTTATTTCACAAAAATGTTTAGTGAGTAAAATGAGATAATAGATGGAAGCCCTATGAAAAATAAATGTGCTGTCAAATTCTAGGTATTGGTTGAGATATCATTGTTAGTATGAAGCTAAATATTTAGTTGTTAATATCAGCTAAACTTACTTTTTTTTCTCTAAGAGGGGGAGAAATGTTCAGCAAGAACCAAAGAGGGGGAGCTGGTTAGCTCAATTAGTTAGAGCACATCCTTATAACACCAAGGTCATGGAGAGCACAGCCTTATAACACCAAGGTCATGGGTTCGGGTCCCTGTACCGGCCAGCTGCAAAAAAAAAAAAAAGAGTAGAATTGTCCCTTCCATGTGAGGTTTTTGTTGGCAAAGCAAAAGGGTCAGTCTTTAAAATGCAGAGAACTATGTGACCAAAGGCATTTTAAGGAGACTCAAGAAGAAAACAAAACTCAGCAAAGGTTCCATTAAAAAAAGAAAGAGGAGAGGCCAGCCCATGGCTCACTTGGGAGAGTGTGGTGCTGATAACACCAAGGCCAAGGGTTCGGATCCCTATGTAGGGATGGCCGGTTGGCTCACTGGGTGAGCGTGGTGCTGACAACACCAAGTCAAGGGTTAGGATCCCTTTACCGGTCATCTTTTAAAAAAAAAAAAGAAAGAAAGAGGAGATGAATAGTGGCTTCATGGAATGAATTACATCTGGTTTGATTTCAGGTGGAAGATGAGACAGTTTTGTGCAATATTCCCTACATGGGAGATGAGGTAAAAGAAGAAGATGAGACATTCATTGAGGAGCTGATCAATAACTATGATGGGAAAGTCCATGGTGAAGAAGGTAGTGGTGTGCTGGGCTCTTTGGGAGAAAACTTTGTTAGAATAGTGCCTCTTCTTTGGTATATCATCATCTTGCTTTTGTCTTCTGCCCCATGAGGTATGAACTGAAGAATATTTCAGTGTCGTTGGATGGCTAGGAGTTAAAAGTTTTATATTAAACATACCCCAGTTAAATTGTAAAAGGAGTTGGGACATAAAAGGATTATATAGTATCAGTGGCTGGAGAGAAAGTTCATTGTAAAATAACTTTAATCTTAGGAGTTTTCTACAAGTTCATCAAAGGCCATTTTGTTCATTTCCCTTCCTCTGAGAATGGTAATGAGCATAACCTCTGTCATACTTCCTTGATCCACATATCCCCTGGATCTCCCAGGAGTTGATTTTAATATTCTGAATTTCCTTAAAGCAAATCATTTGGACTTAGCTGTAATTCTAGAATAGGCTGTCAGTGTGTAAGAAGTGGGAAGAGGAGGAAATATTCCCCACAGATTTGCAAACCAATAGCCCCACCCGCTCTTTTGACAATTGTGGGTGCTGTTGTGATGCTGTTGAAACACATTATTTATCCACAGCGCCCCCTTGTGTTCAAAGACATTCTTCTAAGTTACAACTTAGAAGCCCCATAAAGTACGATTTTAGGAAAAAATGCTGTCTTTTGATTTAGAGCAGTCACTAACAACCCAGCAGCAGCAAAACCAAGTGAATTTCTATTTTATTATTCTTTAACTGTCATACTTGTGATTATTCGTGCACTTTTGTGAGATTTTGAACCATAAATACAGAGTTGACCTGTGACTGAGGAAGTGAACTACTGCAGTAGGAGTGAAACCTGTGACTGAGTTTCCTACTCTAGCCAGCTGAACTACTGCAGTTGGAGAGCCAAGCAAGTGATTGCACTTCCCTGACTGTCCTTATAAAAATGTACATCCGTTACCTCTTGGGCCTCAGGAATAAATATAAGAAAACCTCCCTAGGAGGACTAACGGAGTATGAAACAATCATTGCTCATCCCTTTAATCCTCATGTTTCAGAGATGATCCCTGGATCTGTCCTGATTAGCGATGCTGTTTTCCTGGAGTTGGTTGATGCCCTGAATCAATACTCAGATGAGGAGGAGGAAGGGCACAATGACGCCTCGGATGGAAAGCAGGATGACAGCAAAGAAGATCTGCCAGTAACAAGAAAGAGAAAACGACATGCTATTGAGGGTACATAGCACTGTTTCCTTATTCCATTTTGCAAGTGACAGCAATAGGGAAGAAGTAAAAACTAGAGAGGTTTATTGCTTATTAAAGGCTGCTGGTGCTTCTCTTTGGTCCATTTAAAGGAAAACATAATCATTAGCTGATAGCCTAAGATAGCTGTCACCTAGCTGAAGAAGAGAGCGGAAGAACTTATAGAATAATTGTTCATTTCTAATTGTAAAACAAATGTGTTTGGAAAACACAGAAAGTTATAAAGAAGAAAATAAAATTACCCTTAATCCTGCTACCTATCTTTAATACAAAGGTACTTCAAAAAGTTCATGGAAAGATTCATATTATCTTAATTCTGATTTTCAACAAACTTTTTGAAGTACCCTCATATTTCCTTCTAGACTTAAAAAATGTATATATATAAATCAACATGTTTATGTATGTTAAGTGAAATTAGGATCATGCCAATTTTATGTATATATAAAATTTTACATCTCTTTATTTACTCTTTTATTGTGGTCACTTTCCCATGTCATTAATATTTAATTGTTTAATTACAGTATGCGTTACTTAATTATACTATATGAAGATCAAGGATTTGGATCTCTGTACCAACCACCCACAAAAAAAAAAAAAAGAAAAAAGAAATATCTGTCCAGGGACATAGTTTCTCTCTCTTATTATAAAATAGTTATGGTCTCAGTCTTGTTCTTCAGCAGCAACATTATGACAGGATTCTTCTATATTCAGATCTCTCCGTGAAAACTCATCTTTTCACCTCCACATTCTAACTGGGACTGTGGATTTTGTTGTTAATATGTAGATGACTCTGACTTTTCTACTGGTAGCCTATATGAGATAAGCCCAGGTAGCACTGATCTTTATGTATCTTCAATCAGTGATCACAATGCTGTGACAAAGGGAAAAAAATGTCAGACAGCTTTGTTTGCATGCCCTGATAATAGCACTTAGGAGCTTTTTGTCATTTCCAATCCAGGCAACAAAAAGAGTTCCAAGAAACAGTTCCCAAATGACATGATCTTCAGTGCGATTGCCTCAATGTTCCCTGAGAATGGTGTCCCAGATGACATGAAGGAGAGGTAGGGGAAGCTCTCCCACTCAGGCCACACACAGAGTGCTGGAACTAAACTTTTATTCAAGCCTGTTTTTTGGTTAATGAAAAGCCTTGTTTATGGTAAGCGCGTTCTGATTTCCCTGCACTTCTCATTATTTCTTGCTCACTCTAAATGCCCCTGGCCATATGATGGGACATCATCTGCTGGCTTTTGAGTAAGTCTAAACAGAGAACTTTTACTCTGCCATTTTTCTGGGGAGTTACTCCAGCACCATATTTACCAAATCTCCCCCCAACCCCTCTTACTTTCAGACGGATGTGCATCCCAACGTAATTATAATGGTGTACCCATTTAGTTATACACCATTCCCTCATCATGAGACCCATAAAAAACACCCACCCTCTCTTGGCAGACTGTACCTTGGTGACTGTCAATTCCCAATCTGTATTTTCACAGTAAAGACATTCCCTTGGTGGAACTCTTATCTCTCTTTTCTTAAATAGGTATCGAGAGCTGACGGAGATGTCAGACCCCAATGCCCTTCCCCCTCAGTGCACACCCAACATCGATGGCCCCAATGCCAAGTCTGTGCAGCGGGAGCAATCTCTGCACTCCTTCCACACACTTTTTTGCCGGCGCTGCTTTAAATACGACTGCTTCCTTCACCGTGAGTGGGGCTACTCTGTTTGAAATGCTCTCTTCTTTTCTGTCCCCAGCCACCATTTCCTTCTCTTTGTTGTAGTTTATCACATAGAATTTCTGGCTTCTGATCTGATGATAGTTTTACAAAGAGCCAGTTCTATTTTCACTTGTTCAATTATAGTGCAATGTGCTTTGTGTGATAGGGACAGACTAACCAGCGACATAATTGTCCCTCAGTACCTCCTAGCTTTGAAAGGATTGTGTTGATGTCAGAAATGACTAAATTTCCTTGATCGTAGCTGTTTATGTTGAATTCTAACTCGTACATTAGCTCCCTAACTCAGTTTTGTTTCTTCCCATCCTGTCAAGTGGATGGTTCATTGGAAACAGGGCAATTTTTGTTTTTCTAGCTTTTCATGCCACTCCTAATGTATATAAACGCAAGAATAAAGAAATCAAGATTGAACCAGAACCATGTGGCACGGACTGCTTCCTTTTGCTGGTATGTTCTTAAACTGTTCTGGCATTGTTAATTTTGTTGAAAATTGAGCAGGAAGTGGTCCTTGGGCTTTCTGCCCCTGGGAACACAAGCCAAGTGAGCCAGTACATAGCACTCTGAGGGTTATAAAGCAGAAATAAAAAAAGGCTTCTGCCCTTAAGGAGCTCCCCAGACACAGGAGGACTGTGAACTTAGTCTGATGGAGTGAGATTTGAAGAGCATTAAAGGCTTTCCTGCTCTAAATATCATTTGCTTAGATTTTAGAGCCTGAAACTGTGTTGTTAGAATTGGAGCAAATTGTGTATGTGTATTGTGTGTTGTACTACTTTTTTTTTTTTTTTTTTTTTTGCTGTCTTCCTTTAAATGCACGTAACTGTGGAAGGACTAGCACATGAAGGTACTGGTGTCTTACTGTGATCAACCAGATGGACCCTTCCCTGATGGGTAGACCTTATATGACAGCATAAATTGTTTTGCATACCTGCGAGGAGTCAGCATATTGGACTTGACAAAGAGTTTGGCCTTCTACACAGTAGATGAGCTTAGGTAAAGAGTAAAATACCTTGTAAAATTAGATTATATAGCCAAGTGCTTTTGGAACCATCTTTAGCGGGATAATAGAGGGAAAGATGATTCAGAGTAGTATTGGTACACATCTAGAAAATGGGCCATTTGGGGGCCGGCCCGGTTGCGCACTGGATAGTGCGCCGCTTGGGAAGCGCGGTGGCGCTCCTGTCCGAGGGTTCGGATCCCACATACAGACCGGCTCCCGCTCACTGGCTGAGCGAGGCGCGGGAGCAACACCGAGGCTTGCGATCCCGTTGCTGGTCCCCGGTCCGGTACGGGGGCAACACTGAGGGTTGCGATCCGTTGCCGGACACGGAAAAAAGACAAAAGACAAAAAAAAAAAAAATGGGCCATTTGATAAGAGCAAAAGAATAGATAGAATAAATAGACTTTATTTGATTTATTTTTTCCCTACCATGTATTGACTCCTTCCTGTATGCCAAGTACTGTGCTAACATACATAAGCTCTTAACATACATTATCTTAATTTCATCCTTACAATGACATCATGAATAGGAAGAAACTATGGGTTATAGAAGTTACATATTTTGCCCAAAGTTTGTTAATAAGTCAGTGGTATGATAATGATGAAATTCAAGCCATGGTCTAACTCCACAGTCCATGCTTTTTTTATTATTATTACACCATGTTATGTCAACATACCAGCATTTATATAACTCAAAAGGGCATTGTTCTTCACACAGTAGTCACCCTGGTACATTACACATGTATTACAGAGATGCTGTTGATGCCCAAGATATGTGTGTGTGTGTGTGTGTGTGTGTGCACGCAGGTGGGGTTTTTATTGCTTTTTTTTTTTTTTTCCAAAGATGACCGGCAAGGGGATCTTCACCCTTGACTTGGTGTTGTCAGCACCACGCTCAGCCAGTGAGCAAACCGGCCATCCCTATATGGGATCTGAACCCATGGCCTTGGTTGCTGTCAGCACCGCACTCTCCTGAGTGAGCCACGGGCCGGCCCTTTTTATTGCTTTTTAGATATGAATACATATTCAAATATAGTGCTGGACTATTTTCCCCAGACTTTTTTTCTTCTTTTTTCTTTTTGATGGCTGGCTGGTATTCCCCCAACTTTTTACCAAGAACATTTTCAATCATGTAGAGAAGTTGAAAGATACTGTCTTCCTGGATTTGATAGCACTTTTTTCCATATTTGCTTTAAGTTGCAGACATTGCGATTCTTATTTGTTAAATGTTTCAGCATGCATCTCCTAAAAATAAAGACATTCTTTTTCATAACCACATAATTACACCTAAGAAAATTAAGAAGTATTTCATAATATCATCTGCTATCCATTCTATATTTAGTTTTTTTCAGCTGACCAAGAATAGCTGTTATTGTTTTTTGCTTTTTTTTTAGACCAGGATAATCCAGTCAGGAATCATATTTGATTATTATGTCTTTTTACTCTCTTTTAATCTCAAATAATTGTACCACTTTTTTTTTTTAAAGTTCCAAGCTTGTTTTGTAGGATGACCCATATTCTGAATTTGTCTGTCGTTTTCTCATGCTGTCATTTAACCTGTTCCTCTGTCCCCTATTTCCCATAACCTAGTAATTAGCTCTGGAGGGTTGATTTTTATTTGTGTTAGACGTTTTGGGTAAGAATACTTTGCAAGTGATGGTGGGTACTTCACATTGTAGCATAGGCACAGAATATCAGATTCGATTAATTTCAAAACTTCTCTTTTGGAATTTCCTTTAGGCCCGACAATATATTATTCTGAATATCCTTGGTGATGATAAACCTTTATCCTTTACAAGCAGATTTAGTTTTCAGAAATAGCTAGAAGTCTTTGGGAATCAAATCTGATGAGAAGCATATTGATGATCAAGCTGAGTGATAGTTATTTGGTTTAAAAAAAAGCATGGGGCTGGCAAGTTAGCTCAGTTGGTTAGAGCACAGCCTTATAACACCAAGGTCATGGGTTCAGATCCACATACTGGCCAGCCACCAAAAAAAATATAAAGTTCGTAAGTTTTAGAATGTTTGTTAGAGACCTATTTCATTGCTATATGGTCATATTTTTTATATGGCACAGAGAAAAAAAGAGTATGATAGCACTTAAGCACAGATGTTGAGGAAGATGAAGATTTGTGACTCTGGCCTGTTCCTGTTTCCTGTCTGCAATGTGTCCACTGCAGGAAGGAGCAAAGGAGTATGCCATGCTCCACAACCCCCGCTCCAAGTGCTCTGGTCGTCGCCGGAGAAGGCACCATGTGGTCAGCGCTTCCTGCTCCAACACTTCAGCCTCTGCTATGGCTGAGACTAAAGAAGGGGACAGTGACAGGGACACAGGCAATGACTGGGCCTCCAGTTCTTCAGGTACAGTGAACAGAAAATGAAGATCTTTTCTTTCCATGCAAGGATTCTGGTAAGACCAGGATCACTAGGGTAAACATTATTATTACCTTTTAGAAATTATTCATTCTTTCCACAAGTTCACCTGTAAACAGTGGAGGTGGAGAATATTTTCATTCTTAATTATTCTGCCTTTTAAAGTAGGATGAATTATTTCTGAGTTTATGACAAATGACAATTGCATTCCACCTTCTGTTTCTCTCATTTCCTCTTCTCTTAGAGGCTAACTCTCGCTGTCAGACTCCCACAAAACAGAAGGCCAGTCCAGCCCCACCTCAGCTTTGTGTAGTGGAAGCTCCCTCAGAGCCTGTGGAGTGGACTGGGGCTGAAGAATCTCTTTTTCGAGTTTTCCATGGCACCTACTTCAACAACTTCTGTTCAATTGCCAGGCTTCTGGGGACTAAGACGTGCAAGCAGGTACTGTCTGACAGTAACATGAACTTGGGTCCTCCTTTCATCTATTGCTGTGCCTGTCCTTTTGCCATCTTGTAAGGCTGTATGTCTGGAGAAAAGTTGTCTTAAGTTCAGTCCCTGATGGGCCAGTGTTTCTGGACCATAAAGTGGGTTCCCCAAACATGGGCCCTTCTGCAAATGCCAGGCCTAATAATGCTTGGGGATCTGCTCTCTTTATTTGTCTCTAGCCACTATTTAATTCTTCTGGGTGGTCCTATACTTTTCTAGCTTCTTTTTTTTTTTTTTTTTAAAAGATGACCGGTAAGGGGATCTCAACCCTTGACTTGGTGTTGTCAGCACCACGCTCAGCCAGTGAGCAAACCGGCCATCCCTATATAGGATCCGAACCCGTGGCCTTGGTGTTATCAGCACCGCACTCTACCGAGTGAGCCACGGGCCGGCCCATCTAGCTTCTTTTTTTGATTCCTGCTTTTCCTTCTGAATTTCTTACCCTTTTCCTAGAAGGGACTCGCAGGTCTTTCCACAGATCTTCCTAGCTAGGATACTCCTGCTGCAACAACTGCTACTCCCTGCATCAGCCTCCTCAGTTGCTTGATTCTCCAAATTGTCTATCGCTAGATTTTCTAATTACCGCCTCCAATAGCTGGGCCTGGATGTTGCCCTTCTCACTCATACCATCTCTAGAAGCTCAGCTTGATAGCAACCACTGGTGCCGTGGAGGCGGGAGAAGACTGCAGTGAGAAGACAGGCTGAGACAGGGGTGTGGAGTCAGGTGTCAGGGTCAATCTGTCCAATAAGAAAGGAACCCCAGCACTTGAGCCATGCTCACATGGCTCCCTAACTTCTTCAGGAGTCTCTGTGGCCTCCTCATCATGCTTCCTTTACTTAGAACAGTTCATATCACCAGGAGTTAAAGTGCCGTTTGCTTCCATTTTGGAGCTCATACTTATTTCCCTGGGACACAGGTTCTTAAGCTAAAGGTCTATGGAATTGTATGCAAAAAAATTCTTGTGTGTATTTTCCTGAGAAGGTTTATAATTTTCACATATTCTCAAAAGGGCCAGTAGCTGACAAGAAAAAGAAAAAGCTAAAAACAAGTGCTATAAGGGAAGAAACACTTTGAAGGTGAGCCAGACTTCCTGAAATGCTGTCTGGCTGAAGTAGTCAAGGCTCTGACATCTTTATACCAACAGAGGGAGCTAGTGCTTAGCCCAGGGGAACCCTTCACATCATACCTTACACTCAGTTACTCAGGGTACACAAAGTTGCCCGGCCTAAAAAGAGGCAGGTACAGTTGGTAAGAATCAGCACACTTGTGGCTTGGTAGAAAGAGCAGCAGATGACAGCTGCTGACCAGGAAAGTGGCACTACGCTCAGTATTTCTCCCTTCCTGAGTCAGGATAAATGATTAGGAATTAACTTTCAAGCCAGTGACCCGATATCCCAATGACACTGTTTCTCCCTGACTGAAGAGATGCTCAGTCAGTTGCCTGTGAGTTCTCCAGAACCCTCCCAAGCCCAGGACCTGGCTGGGCCACTTATCTGACCACCTAGCTTGAGAAGGAGTGACAGGCCTTGTTGGGTTTTTCTTCCAGGTCTTCCAGTTTGCCGTCAAGGAATCACTTATCCTGAAGCTGCCAACAGATGAGCTCATGAACCCATCACAAAAGAAGAAAAGAAAGCACAGGCAAGGGTTGGACAAAAGATTTTCTACAGCCAGGCTGTCCTCTGGGCTCTGACTTCCCCTTGGACTTCCCATCTGCCTCCCTCCTTAGCCACTGCACAAGGCTGTGTGAGCTCATCACTTTGGCATCACACAGCTGAGGGCCAGTATCCTCAGTGCTCCCTGAGGGTCTGTGCTTTAGACCAGTTCTTCCTCTGCCCCCACCATGAGATAACTGTCTGGGGTGTTTTCCATTTAAACTCCTCACCAGTAGAATAGGAGCTGGCTTCACAGTTCCACCCCAAGGGCATAGTGTGGTTAGTTACCACCTTACCCATTTCTCAACTCTGACCAGAATTTATTCCTGTCTTTGTTTGTCACTTGTGTTGTTTTTCTAAGGTTTATAATAACACTCTCTCTAGTTAGCCTTTACTTAGGGTTGGAAGTTTTCTAAAGAATTCAGCACTGCCTGGCTCAGTTTCCTAATGACTATCACCTATCAAAGGGAGGAGCTGACACCAGTTCTAGATACAGAAGGAAGTCCCTGTGGCTCCTCTCTTTCAGTACCTTCCCTCAGAGAAGATTCCTGGAAGGTCTTCCCCCCTCCCCATCTTGAAATTCCCCTACATCTCCACCTCCACAGAGGAGGGGGTAGAGAGAGAGAACCAGTGGCATTATAATAGACATATAAGGTTGGGCTTTGTTTTGTTCCTCTTTTTTGTTCTTTTATGTTTGTTTGTTTGTTTGGGAGGGGGTTATGTTTAAGTTTAAAACATGCAGCATAGGCCAGCTGAATTTAGGGTGGACTGTAGCTTCCATGTACCAGAGTAAGGGCCTCCTGTGGAGGGATTTGGGGAGAATACTCCCCGATTATCAAACTACAGCCCCTCGGAGCAGGTTGCACTGTCATTAACTGCATCTGCACAGCTCCCTGGGGCTATAACCCAGACCCTTCCCTTCTTTCTTTTTCAGGTTGTGGGCTGCACATTGCAGGAAAATTCAACTAAAGAAAGGTCAGTTCCCCTGGGGTGCTCTTCAGCAGTTTAGTTTAAGACCTCACCCTGGCTGTTACCTGCCCCACCTGCAGCTGCACTGGTTGACCCTGTGCTGCCACTACAGATTGCAGATTTCCCTGCAGCAGCTGAGAAGAGCTCAGCTTCTCACTGCAGCCCAAGACCTCTTTAGAGGTAGAGTTATGGGCCTTGTCATCTCTGACTTTCCTAGCCTGCCATTTACCAGGTTCCATTCCATTATGCAATGTTTAGAATAGCTTCTCTGTTGTCCCAGACCATCTCCACGCTCTCCCCACAAAACAAACCACCCTATTGGAACTTTTGAACAACAGTCATCTCTGCTGCCTTCTCACTTCAGGTGCCAAATGTGTGTCCAAGGTGATGGTTAGAATAAGCCTCCTTTGAATAAGGGTGATTGGACTCTTGAGATGGAGTGCAGCTAGGGAGCATGGTCACAGCGGTGTCCTGTTGTTCTCTCTCCTAGATAACTCATCCACACAAGTGTACAACTACCAGCCCTGCGACCACCCAGACCGCCCCTGTGACAGCACCTGCCCCTGCATCATGACTCAGAATTTCTGTGAGAAATTCTGCCAGTGCAACCCAGACTGTAAGAATCTAACGGAACAGTTGGCCTCAGTGTGCCCCCAGTTCCTCTCCTTTCCTATGCCCTTTGCTGTTTCTGGGGCCTTCTGATATTCTGTTTGCTATGTTTTAGGCATTTTACACATGAAACAAGGTGCTTAAGATCTGGAAAAGTCATTTTTGAAAAACTGTTAGGTTCATGATTCTAAAAGCAGCAATTATACAGAAATCAGGTGCTTTCCCAACTTTGTTTTCCAGGGGAGAATTAAGAAACAGAATTTTTTTCCTTAAGGTGCAGTCACAGTCTCCCTTTTCTGGATGTTGTTTTAAAATTTTTTTGATTTGGGGTAGGGGAAATTTTTTGATTCACCTTTTTTTAGGTCATAGTTCTGTCTGTGTCTGTTTTCATTTAGTAGCTGGAGTGTTGATATCAGGTAGGAGATGGGGGCCTGGATGTCAGCAGAGGCTAGAAGTGCTTCTCTGACTTCTTATCTCACCATACCCTTTCCCTCTCAAGGCTGAGCAGTTTATTTATTTATTTATTTATTATTATTTTTTAAGGATGACCAGTAAGGGGATCTTAACCCTTGACTTGGTGTTGTCAGCACCATGCTCAGCCAGTGAGCCACGGGCCAGCCCTAAGGCTGAGCAGTTTAATGGCAGCCCCCAGAACTTGCAGAACATCATGCCCAGGCAGAGTTGTGCTGTAAATACCTCCTAACCCATAGCAGATATCAATCTTAGCCACAGCAGAGATATGCTTGTGCTGGGGAGGGCAGTGGGTGGAGGAGAGTGGTGTAGAACGGATGCATTCTGTTCTCAAAATGATACTTGTTTTGATGGTGAGGATTTACCAGTGAAAAACACTGATTTCATTTTCTCTGGGGCACTCTCCACCTCCCTTCCAAATTCCACCAACAGGGGGGAAGAAGAGTATTGTTGGGGAATCTCTAGGGGACACCTATCGATTGTCACACCTGCTTTTTTGACTCGCAGACATGATTGGTAGGAGGCCCTCATTTTCTCTCAAAAAAACTTGAGTATATGATTATACGGAGGGAAGCTTCTCTCCTTTTTTTCCAGAATTCTTGAACATGTAACACTGACTTCTCTGCCATACCTTGAGTCATACCTGAGCCCCAGTGTTAGCCTGCTTCTCTTCTTTTTTTTTTTTGTTTGGTTTTGTTTGGATTTTTGGGGGCAGCTGGTCAGTACAGGGATCAAACCCTGGACCTTGGTGTTATCAGCACCACACTCTAACCAATTGAGCTAACCATCTAGCCTGTGTTTCTCTTCTTAACCTTACCTGTCTTCTCACCCAGGTCAAAATCGTTTCCCGGGCTGTCGCTGTAAGACCCAGTGTAATACCAAGCAGTGTCCTTGCTATCTGGCAGTACGAGAGTGTGACCCTGACCTATGTCTCACCTGTGGAGCCTCAGAGCACTGGGACTGCAAGGTGGTTTCCTGTAAAAACTGCAGCATCCAGCGTGGCCTAAAGAAGGTGAGACTTTGGGCCGGCCTGTGGCTCACTGGGTGAGCGTGGTGCTGACAACACCAAGTCAAGGGTTAAGATCCCCTTACCGGTCATCTTTTGAAAAAAAAAAAGAAGGTGAGACTTTTTCTTTTTCTTTCTTTTTTTTTTTTTTTTTAAAGATGACCGGTAAGGGGATCTTAACCCCTAGCTTGGTGCTATCAGCACCACGCTCACCCAGTGAGCTAACCGGCCATCCGTATATGGGATCCGAACCCGGGGCCTTGGTGTTATCAGCACCACACTCTCCCGAGTGAGCCACGGGCCAGCCCTAGGTGAGACTTTTTCTAAGGACTCCCTGCCAGATAATGGAGGGGGAAAGAAGGAATAGTCCCAAGCATCCTCTTTCCACTGGTTCCTTAGAGGATTTGTATGTGAAAGTGCTCGGTAAATCCTAAAAGACACACACTTACTGAATTAATAAAGTTTTCCATCCCAGTGAGGGGTTAGTAAAGTGGCCCCTTGAACTGGCCAGACCGAAAGGAGGAGAGAAGTGAACGTGCCATTGATGTTGTCTATTTTTACCTCATAGCAGTGAATTTCCATAGATTCAGGTCTAGGAGGTCCCCGGGGACAGAGGAAGAGGTGTCCTGTTTCCTTCTACCACCTTCCTTTTTTCTTTTTTCTGTCACCAGAATAAAATGGCTTAGATCTTTTTCTGCTTTCAGATCCTCTTAACAGTTGCTAGTGCTTTCCACCCTGCCTACCAACACGCACATGCACATACAGAACACACTCCCCCACACTCCCACATGCCCTATCATCTGAGGTTTGTCTCTCTCTTCCCCAGCACCTGCTGCTGGCCCCCTCAGATGTGGCCGGATGGGGCACCTTCATTAAGGAGTCTGTGCAGAAGAATGAATTCATTTCTGAATATTGTGGTGAGGTGAGTGCTATAGGTTTGGCCCACATTCTTTCTGGGGAGATGCTGATGAGAAACTGATTTTCTGTGGGCCAGGCTTCTGTGAATTAATCTCTAAATAACTCAGCTGAGTTCTCATGTGGCCTCTCGGGGGATCCCACAGAACTGTTTTCAATCCTGAAACAAACCACCGTTCTTCAACTCTTTGACAAGCCAAGCCTCACAAGAGAGTGGGAGGAAGCTCCGTTCAGCCTTGATACTGGTCAGCCTGGGTGGGAATTAGAACCACATAACCTGAGCCCTCCCTCTTATGCTTTTCATCATGATGCTCGATAAGTACTCATAATGACACTGCCGCCTCCCAGCCCTTTCTAGGGGCAGGGTACCATGCCCTGAGTGGGCAACCTGATGCCACTTGTTTGTTCCTTGTCTGTCCCTCTAGCTCATCTCTCAGGATGAAGCTGATCGACGAGGGAAGGTCTATGACAAATACATGTCCAGCTTCCTCTTCAACCTCAACAACGGTATGGAATCTCTTTCTCTCATCCTGAGGTGGTCTTGTGCAGGTCTTCCTACTAAATTGCCCTTGCTGTAGTCCGGGTTCAAATCATCTCTGAATCTTTCCACACAAGCATACAATAGGGTGGCAAAATCGAACTCAGAGACCCCACAGGCCACAGTTCACTTGCTTTGAGAAAGCCTCCATTTCTGGATTGTTTTTTATAGAAGAACTAAGCACTTACACCTCAGAAATCTTCCTACCCACTAGATGGGAAGAAGAGATCCATAATTCAGACAAAGGGGGAGCCCCAACAGGAGTGCTCCCACACAGGGCCACGTTCTTAGACTGCACGCTTTCCCCAGCTCCTGTTAGTACACTTCTCTTTGAGAGAAAGTTCCCATTGGACTAAATTGTTTCTGTTACTGTTTAGTTGATTTTAAATTCAGGCTAAAAAAGCTGTGGCGTTGCCCTGATGCACTCATGGTCTTCCTTGATTTACTTTATACAGATTTTGTAGTGGATGCTACCCGGAAAGGAAACAAAATTCGATTTGCAAACCATTCAGTGAATCCCAACTGTTATGCCAAAGGTGAGTTCCCACCTGGGAGGTGGGTGCTTCCTTTACTATGATTTCTACCCATCGTTCAACTTTTTTCATAGCTGAGTTATTTTTTGTCCAAAGATAATCATGATTAATGTCTGGTATCATTTTAGGCCTCTGTTTCTCAGTTTTATAATCTACTTTTTTCACTGCATACATTGTAAACACTTTCCCACAAACATGATTTAAAAATAATTCTTCCCTAATATCACTAACCAGAATAACAGATCTAAAAGTATAGAGGCAACTACCCTAATTGACTACTTTTTAAGCCCATTTGATTTATATTTTCACTGGGAATTTGGAGGAAGTCAGCCCAGAATCGTAGTAATTGTTTACTTGGAGTTGAGTACGAACCTAGCCTTGGGTTCATCCTATTTGCAGTGGTCATGGTGAATGGAGATCATCGGATTGGCATCTTTGCCAAGAGGGCAATTCAAGCTGGCGAAGAACTCTTCTTTGATTATAGGTGAGGCAGCCAGTAATGGTCCTTGGGAGGTGGTCCTAGAACCAGAGACAGTAGCTATTGGAATTGGTTTGGGGGCTTAAGGTGGGTCATATGGATGAAGGAGAGGATTTCCCGGTGGTTACTACTGGGTCATTATTCTGATCTCTGGTGCATTGCCTCAGAAGTGGGAACATTGTAAATGGCTGTTAGGGACTAGGAGGGGAAGTGAAGTGAGAAGGGGATTCCATCTCTACACAAAAGCCTTTAGAGTAACCTGGTTTCTTCTCCCTGCTCTGGGACAGGTACAGCCAAGCTGATGCCCTCAAGTACGTGGGGATCGAGAGGGAGACCGATGTCCTTTAGCCTCCTAGGCCACATGCCAGCGCTTATGGTAGCGGCACTGTCTTGGCTTTTATGCACACATCACTGCTGCTCAAGTTTCCTGCACCTGTGTCTCCCACACCGAGAACCCCCACCCATTCCCTCTGTAGTGAGGCCTCAGCTGTGTCCAATGGGCACAAAACTCCATGAGAGGGGAGACAGCAGCAGTTAGGGCTTGGTGTCCCAGGACAGAGAGCTGCAGAAATGGGAGATTGCATCTCAGGCCTCAGAGGAAGAGAGTACAGGCTGGGATGTATGACTTATGCTTGACTTCTTGCCAGTCCCCCAGGCCATGGGCCTCAGGAATCAACTGAAGGCAGTTCCCAGGAAGCGTCATCCTGGAATTTTAGCTTTGCCAGTCAAGGGTCCTAATGTAATTGGGTGTCAGGTGTATCTTTGTGGTCCTAAGACCTGGAGAGGACAGGCTAATGAAGTTTGGTCCCTGGCTGAGAGGTGGGCTTGCGGACAGCACAGACTGAATTCAGAGGGAGATCGGTCGTCTTACTACCTCTTTCCTCATGGCAGTGCTCAAGCTGAGAGAGTCTGGGTTCTAAGTACAGGTATTCAAGGCTGGGGGAAGGAAAGCTAAGTGCCATCCTTCCATGGACAGAGAGGGAGAACCAGCCTGATGACAGGAGTTAAACTGCTAAGCTTAGGCCTAGAGGCTTTGAGAAAGCCTTCTCTGTACAACTCGAAATAGACGAATATGTGTGATCAGATTCCTGGGAGCAGATGCCAGTGCCCCAGCTTCTTCCAAGGTTCTGGCTTAGCTGGGCTGGCTGATTAGCTCAGTTGGTTAGAACGCAGCCTGATAACACCAAGGTCAAGGGTTCAGATCCCCATACCAGCCAGCACACATACACACAAAAAAACAAAGTTCTGGCTTAGCGACTGCAGGCAGGCATTATGCTGCTACTGAAGAAGCATCGGGGGCTGTGCCTGGTTGGGTATGAGTGCTGTGGTCTGCTAGATTTGTAATTGTTTTCAGGCCTTCCATTCCTTGTAGAGGCTAGGCCCAAGGGGCTAGTGTTGTTCATCTCTTCAGGGTAGATGGGCCTGGACTGGAGAGGGGAAAGGTTGTTGGTGTGATTTACTTTTCTGTCTGTAGCACCTGCTGCTTGGAAAGGATAAGTTAGCAATATGTGTTTGGTGGTGGGTGAGGGGCTAAATTGCACATATTTAGGATGGCATCATACGTGCAGACTGGCAGAGGGTGTTTGAAATATTGAGAAGAAGCAGGAAGACCACCTATCCCAGTCTGTGGTGCCATTCTTTCTGGGATTCATACAGAGCAAAGCACTTTATTTCTTTTAGAAGGTCTGTAGATTGGGGTGGAGCTTGAGCTGAGGTTTGGGGTCCCTGCCCAAATCCTACTCCTGAGGAAAGGTGAAGGAAGGGGGTTGGACGTAGAAGATTCTCCTCCAGTTCTGTCTCATTTCCTGAAGGAGGGAGGAGGAACTGGTTTGCCACAGAAGAATTTACTAAGAATGGGGCCAGCAAGAGCTGCCTGTGTCCATGGCTAGTGTGCTTAGCTGCCAGGGAGCAAAGAGCACTGTGTAGGGCTGAGAGGACTTGTGCAGGCAGACTTGCCTAGGGTCCTAGAATATGGAGCAGGCTTCTTCCTTCATTCTGGGGAATCAAAGCCTCTCCTCCCCTGGTCTATTCCGACCTCTCCCTTCCACCCCACTGGGTGTCCTATGAAGGAAGAAGTGGGATTCCCTCTAGCCAGGCTGCCTCTTAGGGATTTGTGTGGGACTCTCACACACACACACTCGCTCTCACTCATCCCACTGGCGGGCACACATGCACCTGCACCCAGCACACACCCAGCCAGCTCCTGACAGAAGCCTCTTCCCACCTGATTGGGCCAGTCCCAACATGGTTCTAAAACATCTGCTGTGGTTTGTATTCATTAGGTAGATTGGGGATAGACTCAACCTGGACTGTGTGCTCTGAATTACTCATAAATTATAGGGGAACCAGAGACAGATGAAGGAGTTAGGTCTTTCTGAAATGTCAGGGGCTAGCCATGAGGAATAGGAGAAAAACAAAATTTTTTCCAGTCTTTGAGAGGCTAGACTGACCCCACCCTTCCCTCAGTGAGCGGAATCACTGTGGTCGATACTTCCTTCCCCAATTTTAGACCACTGATACTCCTGTCCCTCCAGCGTTTCCATTCTTTGTCCCTGCTGTCCCTCTCCTTTAATGACGGGTCTCAACCCCTCACCCCCACACGTAATGATGGATGGAGCATGGCGGTGGGAACTGGGGGGAGGCTGGTATACCTGCGGCTTTATTGCCAGTGAATTTCACGCACTTTAAAGTCCCGTGGCTTGTGACCTCTTTTCTGAATAAAGTGTTAGAATCCATTTTGGCAAATTGTGTACTATGTGCTTTGGGGCTGGAAGGATCTAGGGATGGTGGTACAGGTGCAGGTTATGCTAAAGCTTCAGCATTCTGATCCCCACTTTTCCACTGAGATTTGGGGATGGGAGGTGGCAGCAGGCGGGGGGTGGGATGGGTTTGGCAAGAGCCAGTCAGGTCCTGGCAGGTGATACAAGGATTCTGACAGCTCCCTTAGAAATTCCTTAGCCCTCGGATTAGATCCTTTACAATCATCCCACTTATCCCCTAACCACGACGCCAGCTACTACACACAGACTGGGGCTCTGCCACTCTGCTTTATTGGAATGGCTTCAAGTCTGAGAGCACAGAGGCTCAGCCCTGCTTCAGAGAAGGCTGGCTGAGTGACCAGCAGGACTCATGAGACTTCCAGCACAGAAGCAAACTATAGACTGTGGGCACAGCACAGGACAGCTGATTGATTTTTTTGTTTTATATAGAAACATAATTAAAAAATTAGAATAATATATAGAGTTCCTCTAGAGAGAGACTTTGCAACAAAAAATATATATAAAGAATATGACCTCCTGGGCAAATGAAGCAGCATCTCTGAGCGGAGGAAAAAGGTCTCCTCATGCATTGGAGAGGGGGCCAAGACTTTGCGCAGGCACGAAGGCTATTGCATATCTTGGAAAAGGTGGAAGAGTAGAGGGCTGGCTAGTCAGGGTGTCAGCATTATTTTCACTATGTTGCAGGGTTTCTTTTATGGCTTTGGCTGAAGCATGTGAAGCAGCGGAGGTACTAAAGTGCTAAACTGAGGCCTCTTGGTCTGTATGTAAAAACAAAAAGCAGGTAGGGGACAGCAGTGAAGCTCTCCCTAACCCCCAGCTGAGTGGAAGCAGATGGAAGAAATTCTGCAGGGCCAGGGGGAGGCTGGGGGATATGATTTAGCAGCCTCCTCCCCCCATACCCTGTGCAGCCCTGCAGTCCCATACATCTGTCCCTGCTGATATTGTATATTGGAAGGGAGGCAGTTAATCTCCCCTATACTCTGTTGTTAATCCCTGGTAGCAGCTGGGACAGAAATGGCAGGAAGGGCCTGTCTCAACCCATGAGACCTCTTCTTTGGGGCAGGCAAACAGCCAGGAGCCTGGGGAAACAGAGATGAGCAGGGCATTGGTTTAGGCAGTGAGGCTTGGCCACTCCCTTTGGTCCCATCTGTAGCTCTGCCCACAAAAGTTGGTAGGAGGGGTATCCTCTGGATGAGCAGAGCCAGCTCAAAGGAGCCAAATGTCCCTGACAAGGTGGGGAGAGGCAAGAATTGGGGAATTCTGAGGAGCTGGACTTGGTCCCTAAAGCCCTTCTCCTGATTCATTCGGACCTGGACTCCTCCAGTATCTGGGGTAGGTTCTGGTCCCGGGGGCCAGGGGTTGGGGCTGGGGCCGGGGCTGGAACTGGAACTTTTGTGGGAGCTGGTGTGGGGGCAGGGGCCTGGGCAGAGCCTGAAGTAGGTAGGGGAGGTTTGCTGCTGGGATGGTAATCGTGGGTGGCCTTGGGCTCATTGGTATGGTAGGAGCCCTTGTAGCGATGATTTTGCAGATAGAAGAGCACCAACATTCCCACCAGTCCCAGCAGCAGGAAGGCCACCAAAACTGAAAGGAAAGGAAGAAAAGGAACAATTCAGGGCAAATCGTTGGGGTTTCACACACACGCACATACACACCTACACTTTTGGCCAAAAGCATATGTGTATGACAGTGTCAGCTATACAACCACATTGAGCTACTCCTCAGTATCCTGTAGGTCTGAATTCCTGACTTATCCCCTGCTGACTTCTATTTCTAATATTCTCTTTCCAAATCCCTGGTAGTTACCCCAATTTCTCATCTTTCTAGATGTTACTGTACCCCCATTTCCTCATCCCTTAGCTATAGTCCCATTTTAATAAAAAATTTATAGGATCCTCAAACATACTACCTTCAGCCAAGCCTATCTCATCCTTTGTAGTGTCATTCATATGGCACCTTTGCCCTCAGCTTTGGGGATAAGGGGCAGGGAGAGAATGCTGACAGTCAAAGGGTAGCCTTGGGAGGTCAGGTTATTGATTACTGCTACTCACAGCCTAAAAGTATGGCAACCCATCCATCATCATGGTAGTATGGGAAGTCTGAAGAGGAGAAAACACCAGTTAGGAGATACCCCCCACCCCCAAGTTAAGAATCATTTCCCTCCTGCTCCTTTCCCTCTTCTGGGTCCCAGGAATGTACCTGGGGGCAGATACCAGGGATCAAGCTCAGGTGGCACCTCTGCAACAAGACGTGGCATAGCTCCACAGTTAGATTCAGACAGTTCTCCCTGAACTCGAAGGGCCTCAGCCAGCTCGGCAGTCATGGGTCGAGGGGTTCGGAAGTGAGTCTTGAGGGGAGCCACGTTGTTGAATCGAACACCAGACAGGCAGCCTAAGAAACCTGGGGTGTTGTAGCGCTGGATCTCTGGGTCAATGACTCCTGTCTCTAAGGGAGAGGCAGGCCCACAAAGAGAGGGGCTTGGATCACCCAAAAGCCTGCCCCTCGCTGTCCACAGTTTCCCCACTTGTCTTTCTCACCACTCTCACTGCCATTCCCAGTTCTTGACTCTCCTCTAGGCTCCAGGTATTTCACCCACAACTCTGCCCAGGACTCCTCTTCCCCCACAGCTTACCCATCACACGCCCTAGATACAAGGCCTTGGGCGAGTCCAGCTGGCTGTCCACCAACAGTGAGAACTTCTGTTCTGTCAGCGGGAAGTAGTCCACCTGAGGTGGAGAGGGCAGGGCGGTGAGGGACTGAGGACCAGAGGCCAGTGCAGCCAGGACCATGCAGGAACTCTCATTCTTTCCAAACTGGTGGTGCCAGCTGGTGAGTACCAACTCAGTCTGAAGTGGGCAACCCCTGGGCCCAGATGTAGGATTTGGTATGTTTTTAAAAACCCTACTTTTGAGCCCTGTTTTTGCAGCTTACTAGTGGTTTGACTTTGGGAAAGTACTTTACTTTCTGAGCCTGCTTACTGATTTGTAAAACAAGACAATAAGAACGCCTGCCGACCTGAACTACCTCAGGGAGTTGTAAGGGTCACATGAGGTGATACACATGAAAATTCTCCGTACATTGAAATGTGCTCTACAGATGTTAAGTGTTTGACATTTTCCTGGGAGCCACAACCAAGATCATGAGGCTATGATCCAAACTGGTTCACCTCCCCCACACGTACCTGGATGAAGAGGTTGCGGTAGACCCGGGTGATGTTGACACTGTGGGGCTGGCCATCGGTAACTGGTCGGGTGGTTAGCTGGTACACATAGGGACTGGTGCCCAGCTGATATCGCAGCTGCAGGGTTCCTGTTGGGTGAGGAGAAATATGGGGTCTCCTCTAAACCCTCACAACCCTCATCTTCTGGAGTACTTGGGTCCTTGTATTAGTGAATCAATAGTTAGGAGAATTAAGGGTATGTGGGGAAAGCTGGAGTTGGGGGAGCTTACCGTCCTCCTTGATGAGCACGGCCATATAGTCACGCACAAAGGAGCTGACGTAGAGCAGGACAGCAGGGGCAGAGCTGGTGCTGAAGCTGAAGGAGACCTCCTCTCCCGTAACATTGTAGACAGGCCCACGGTAACCTGGCACAGGCCGGCCAGGCCGGGGGTAGTCAGGCAGGCGGTACCCAGGGCCATGGTAGCCAGGTGCATAGCCAGGAGTGTCATAGCCAGGGATATAGCCAGGCTCATAGCCTGGCACCGGCCGGCTCAGCATGTGGGAGAACTCCCGGGCTGCAGAGCGCAGTGCTGACTGCAGGTTATAACGCATCCAGGTGCCCGACTCAAAGAAACCGCCAATATCTGAAGGCAGAGGCAATGAGGTCAGGGCCCCCAGACTCCTTATTCCCAAATTCAGAGGTTTTATATGTCATCTACACACACACCCTGAGAATTGCTTTAATTTCTGCCACTATCACATCCCTCCATATCCTTTTAGGTCCCCTTGAGCCCCTCTGTCACAGAACAGAATCTTAAAGCCATGAGAAACTTGAGAAATAATCTAATTTAATCCACGCATTTTACATATGGGGAAACTGAGGCTCAGAGAAGGTAGTGACTTGCCTAAGGACACACAGTAAACGGAGAGCCAAGATTAGAATTGAGATGACCCCATCCACTCTATGTGCCACTACTCACACTTTCAAACCAAGACCAGAAGTCATCTGTTGGCCCCTAAGTCCCTGTATCTCCCTAGTCCACCAGACTCCTCCCACCAGTAATCCACCTGCCCTTGTATCCCCCTAGGCCAGCCTTAGGGAGGATGCACTATGGGTACATATGCAGAATTTTGCTGTGGTGAATGTCAAGGCTTGTCAGGTTGTACACATATTTTAGGGATGTAGCAGTCATCAAACAGGAAATGGTATAGAAGGCCATTGTGTAGCCTAAAGTGAATATGCTTGTAAGGGGGACAACTTGTGTTACCTTGGTGATAGAGGGAGGATGGAGAAGTTATTTGCTTGTTGCTTTTGAGCTCTTTTGGTACCAGCTAGCTGTACCATTCCTTCCTGTCCCACTTTGTGCCTTTGGAGTCCACCCAGCATCTTCAATTGCCTGACCCCCAGCTCAGAGCTCAGGAGCCCAGGGACAACTCTGTTTTTTCCCCTGATGTTGGCTTTACACCCTCTTTTCTTCCCTGCCATTCCTATATTCTATTACACCCTATGGATCCCTGTTCCCCCATAACCAGCAGCACTGACCATGGTTGCAATATGGCCCATCAAAAGCCGTAAGGTCACAGTCACATGTATAGTAGCTATAGCGCTCCACGCAGCGGCCTCCATGAAAACAGGGGAACCGGGGGTGAACACAGTGGCCCGTGCAGTTGGGTGAGGTACCCTCAGAGGCATTGGCACGGCCCTCCAGGTTCAGAGTCACTCCGTTCAAACGCATGGCCCTCAAGCAACCCACAAAGGGGCGCCTCTTAAGCTCCGCAGATCCTGGGGAGGGTAGGC